ACTGATGGTTTGATTTCTATAGGGTTTTCTTGGCCCCACTAATAATAATAATAAACAATTATATGAAGGAATCAAAATGTAATATGCAATCTGCAAAATAGTAAAAACAGAACTTAAAAATAAAAAAAGACGTGCCAACAACATTGCTTCCTTTTCCAAAGAAAAGATTTTTGAATAGTTGTACAGACACTATAAGCTGACATATTCAAAGAGATATTTCTCAAATGTTCTGTTGCACAAGGAACAAATGAGTTACAGCAGTTGTTTCAGCTGCGCAGCGGTAAGGCCGTGTATGAAAAGTGTATATCATACGGGTAAAAACGAATCCGTGAGAACCACAAACAAACACACACCACAAACACACACCCACAGTGAAAAGCGAGAGTGTACACCTGCGCTGAGGAGCTGATGTACAGATAAACAGAGCAGCACTTCAAAGAGATAAACTGACAAAACCGGAAGAAAAACTGTTTTTGCACTCTACCAGCTGCTGCTCTTTGACAGTTTTTATCCTTGAAGACACAGTTGGCTGGGTTTTAGGACACATAGTCAGCTGTGACTGCTGGAAGATGTGACCTTAAAAAAAAAAACATCACCACAATACATTTTTACAATTTGTTTGCTTGGTTACCTGCGTGATCTCAATGACAATAAAAAGGATACACTTTAATAGCTCCTGACTTTGTCCCGATGGCCATAAGTTGCAGCTTGGGGTCAAAGGCCAAAGCACTGGGCTGATGAGGGAACCCATGCTCCACAGTCTGAGAGAAGGGTAGACAAAACGAAGGAGTGGGAAAGACAAACAGACGAGAGATTAACAGATGACACCAGAAAGAAGACAAAGAAAATGCTCAGATGTTGTTTTTTTGACACCTCTTCTGTCAACGCCCTGCTGTTTGTCTGTGAGTGCGACTGTACAGTCAGTGAGGCGTCTAAAAGGGAGCACTCCCTTAATAAAGTGAGAGGAAAGGCAGAATTGCTTTATTAAAACGCTCTGCAGACTTTGTTAAATGGGATTAACATCAATTCACAGCTTTTCCTTGTGTGTGGGGAGACCAGACAGCTGGAAAAGCATTTAGATCTACAGAGGAGGAAAAAGAACAGAAACTCTGTAGGTATCTTAACCCACTTTAAAGAGGCTGAGGGGGTCTTTAAAGTTTTGTGGCCGAACACCCCTGACCAGGCTCTGTGATCGAGAAATTTGGAAATTTGTTATTTAGCTTGGGAGTCAGATATGAGGTAAAACATTAACTCTTTAAAGTACCGGTCTGATCACACACACACACACACACACACACACACACACACATCAAAGTAACACTCCTGCTGAGAGACCACCTCTGCGATAGTTGTGGCAGCTGGTGCCAAACCTTAAAAAAAAAGTGTGTGTGTGTGTGTGTGTGT